TAAGACTGCTGGGTTCCTCTGAAAGCTTCAGCCTTAACTTCTCAACACTACAAGGAAAACTGACCTAAATGTGGCATATTCTGTGGGCCCAAGTCCTTATCTTAGTAACACACACACTTCAACTCCTATAGAATTTCCAGTAGGTCTAAAACTTACCCACTTACCCATCCTCCTCCTCCCATCTTTAAGTGCCGGAACTCTCCAATCGGAAGTTGCTATCTGACAAATATTCTAGAATGCCAAGCTGACTACTCGCTCACATTTCTGATACTGCAAGCTCCTGCCTCCTCCATTGCCTTGGTGCTCTCAATTTTCAGTTTCTTTCTCCTCATCCATTCACTGACTTAAGATCTGACACATACACTGCTTGTCTGCTTACCATGTAACACACCTCGGGAAAGATGAAACATCCTGTCTGCCTGGACTTCTAACACTTTGGGATTTGTCCCTTAGAACCTGCCTCACCCCAACAACGAGTGCAGTTCAAGACCCAGCCACTCACACTATCTTCATGGTCTGACTCCTATACACCAGGCCATATCCAGTCAGGTACCAAGACCATCGCTGATTTTTCAGCTTTAAAGAAAACAAAAAAGTGTTTACTCTAACAATGATTAATTTCATAATTCTTTACTGCCTGATACATAGCACATTTGGAAACAAGTATAAAAATGCATGTAAGAAAGAGAATTTTATGTAGTTTAGACCTGAGAAAATGTTTTCAGGTGCAGATAACTTTTTGGCTTTCGTTCACTAGTAACCTACATATTACAGTAGTAGGTATTGAAAGATTGAAAGAACAGTGTCCACATGGGGTTCATGAAGAAAACTCTCAAATACTGACAGTGACTTAACAATGAGTCATATATTTCCTTATTTGGAAATTGAGGACAAACCAGTACTGTTCTTTAATCTTAGGAATTTAGAAAAACTCACATATCTTTCACTCATTTTAAATAGTCAAGGGAGAAAATGTGAAATTACCATACTAGGAGGTACACTTAATGTAGTACCTTTCTTTTAATTCTCTCAGGATTTCATAATATCCACCAAGCTGCTGAATGGCTACTGGTTTGAAGGAAGCATCCTGATTCATAAACATCTATTGTAAACTGTATTTTTGGACCAGATTCACATACGTGAGTTTACAAATAACAAGTGGTCTAAGTTTCAAAGATACAAGCCACATATTCTAAAGCCCCCGCCCCCACATCTCAGCCTTCTAGCACTCATTCTGAGTGTTCTCTTATTTTGGGAAACTCATGATAATCTCATTACCTAAATACCATCTGTACTTATTTATCCAAAGAAGCAAAGAAACCTTAAGCAAAAGCCAAGTGTGAAATAATTTTCCTATTTTTTAAAAGTAGGTTAGGACTTTAAAAAGAAAAAAAGTGAGGTTTGGTTTATCAAAGTCATCTCTTAACATACTTTCACTTTGAAAACATACTGACTCAACTTTGGGTTTCATCTGCTATATTTAAAAATTACATTAGAACTAGATTAAAGCATGAAACTAAAATTACCAACATGTATTGCCCTTTGTTTTCTATTAATGACAACCATAATAGCCTTTTGGTAGATTCCTCCATTAATTCATGGGTAATGAAAGCATCAAAGTGTGTCTGAATTATAATGCTAAGTGTATTTTCTAGATGGATTCCTAAGTTCTTGTGAGTCAGTTACTGTGTGGCAACTATACATACAATTACAAAGGGATATGCCCAAAATAGATCAAATCAGACGCACTGTTACTTAAAACATTTTGCTAACCAATTTCCTTATTTTAAGCTCCAGTATGCATTCACATCTAAAAGCATTTATTTAAAAAGATGACAGTGAAATTGCCAAAAACAAGATTAATATACAAAAATCAGCCAGTGACAGTAATCTTTTTTAAAAAGCAGGAAAAAATTTCATTTACAACTATATCCTTTTTAAATCTTATATATTTATCTATTTAATATATCTATTAAATAAAAACTTGAGTATATAGAAGACATTTAATATATATATATATATACTTCACAGTATTTGACCTAACAAGAAATATGCAAAACCTCTGTGACACGTGAATAAAAAACTGTAGAATTACGGAGAAATATAAAAGATCTAAATACGTGAATATATGCACTACATTACTATATGGAGTTTTCATTATTTTAAGTATGTCAGTTTTTCCCAAATTAATCCATACCTTTAAGGAATTTAATAAAAATACCATAGAAATTTTTGGGCGATTTAATAAATGCATTAAACATTTCATTTGGGGGGCCTCTGGGTGGCTCAGTAGGTTGGGTGTCTGACTTCAGCTCAGGTCATAATCTTAGGGTCCTGCGATTAAGCCTCACATCGGCACCCTACTCGGTGGGGAGTCTCCTCGTCCCTCTCCTTCTGCCCCTCCTCTTGCTCATGTATGTACACTCTTACTCCCTCTCAAATAAATAAAATCTTTTAATAAATAAATAAATATAAAAATTACATTTGGAAGAAGAAATGCATGACCACCCAGAAAGATAGACACTACAAAACAAGACTACTTAAGGAACACTTGCCTGTCCAGATATCAAAATACATTATTTAGCTACAGTAATTAAAGTAATTCTATACTGGTAAAAGAATAGAGAACTAGACTAATGAAATCATATAGGATAAGATCAATAAATATTACTATATAAAATTAAACTTCCACATGGCAAATGAGGCTGAAAGGTCAAAGGACAAATGATAATCTGGGAAAATGTTTACAACGTAAGACAAAAGGTTAATATCCTTAAAATATAAAAAGTTTTAACCAATCAAATTTCTTAGGGGTAAGAAAAATAAATTACAACATCAAACAATTAAACATTAAACAAAACATTAAACAATTAAAACAAAACAAATGATAAGAACATAAAATTTTATGTCTGTTATACATATGAAAAGATAGTCATCCTCACTAAGTAAAGTAAACTTGAGCAATGAAAATTTTTCATCTGTTTGACTGTCGAAGATTAAAAAGAATGATAAATGCAGTATTAGCAAGAGTGTGGAGAAATGGGACAGTTGCATGTAATAATGGAATTATAAAGTTGCAGTTTTATAACGCAATTCAGCAGTATCTACTAAAATATTAAATCTATATATTCTTTGATTCCATTATTCTCCATGTTGGAATCTATTCTACAGGAAAACACGCCAAGTCTGTCTGTAAAAGAGTATGTATACAATGTTCATGTCTACCATATGTAGTATAAAAAAAATAGAAACATCCTAAATGACACCAAATGAATGCTTCAGATAAATAAATAAGGGCACATTCACATTCTGGAATACAATACGACCCCAAAATAAAAAAGGTAACTCGAGGTGTATTCACTTGGAAAGATACCTAATATATACTGTACTGTGAGTATAGTGTTACAAGTTTTTTTTTAAAAAAAGGAATTAGAGGATAGTGTACCAAATACGATCCCTTATTTGTACACGTAAAGAAAACTATCTGAAAGTTTACAGATTCAAATTCTTTACATCCTTTTGTGATAATTGAATATTTTTGCAGTAAGTATAAATTCTTTGCTGTGTTAAAGTACAAATCTGAGGGGAAAAACCCAATGTTTCTTACATGGAATACTACATTCAAATGAACATTTTATTTCTTCTACAGGATTTACTTCTTCTATCGGATAAATGCTATAAAAAATTAGCAATAAAATAGTCTTTTTAACTCTGAAAATGCATTTATTTGCCAAACATGTATAGGGTGTGTTAGACTCTGAGGATATAAAAATGAACGAGACATTATCTCTGCCCTGAAGAAAACCAAAGTACATTGGGAGGGACAGATCAGCATACAAGTAAGTACAGTGAAGTGCTTAAGTTACTGTGACAGTGGTGTCTGCAGGGATAAAAATGGAAAGGAAAGGGAAGGTCATTCTACTTGTGGGAAAACTTATCAGAAAGACTTAAGCTTATACTTGAGCTACATCTTAGAAATGACGCACTGACCAGACGGACAAGAAGAAGGCGATGCATGCGAGAGAGAGAGGGATGTGTTCTTCGGCTGGAGAAGGGTATTTCTGGACAGAGAGCTACAAACAGATGATGAGAATTTTAATGCCGAATATCAAACCAAAACAATTTTCAAATCCATCATAATACTTGTAACATTCATCTAATAAAATTTTATTGTCTATGCTAGTTGAAAATTACTTTTAAGTTCTGGTCTTTTTTTTTTTATAACTTTTTTTTTTTTAAGATTTTATTTATTTATTTGTCAGAGCGAGAGAGGGAGAGCGAGCGAGCACAGGCAGACAGAATGGCAGGCAGAGGCAGAGGGAGAAGCAGGCTCCCTGCCGAGCAAGGAGCCCGATGTGGGACTCGATCCCAGGACGCTGGGATCATGACCTGGGCCGAAGGCAGCTGCTCAACCAACTGAGTCACCCAGGCGTCCCTTTTTTATAACTTTTTTTTCTAAAGTCTACGAAAATGCCACCTGTCTACCCACCTCTCTAAAAGAGGGAGAGGAGGGGCAGAGACAGAAGCTCAGGCAGGCTCCGGGCCCAGCGCGGAGCCCCACACGGGACTCGATCTCACGACCCTGAGATGGTGACCTGAGCCGAAATCAAGAGTCAGATGCTTCCCTGACTGAGCCACCCAGGCACCCCACAGGCCTTTTCCGTGAACGGTCGTATTTAAAATCCTATTTTATGTCTTAATTAGAAAACAGACCGTCTTTAAGCGCAACGCTCTACGCTCTCCCGCTTCGGTCCGGGGTTTCCGGGAAGTCGCCCCACACGGCGTCCGCGCCCGGCGCGCCTGAGCCCCACACAGACACGCCCCGACACGACAAACACGCTCCGTCTTCCTTGAAGAGGGACCCTCCTGCCAACACCGACGACCTCCAGCGCCGCCCCCCGGGGCCGTACGTCCCTCGCGGCCCAGAGCTAGCGCACTCGACGGCGAGGAACGACAAGGACAGACGCGGGAGGCACGACGGAACACACGCGGAGTCTTACCTCGTGCAGCGTGAGGTGCTTCCCGTCCTTCCTCTTGGAGTCGAAGCGGCCGTAGATGGCGCTGTACTTGCGGATCTCCTCCTCCTTGCGCGGGTCGTCGTCGCTCATGTCGAAGATGTGGCCGACCATCTTGGCCAGCTTCTTGTTGCTCCTCAGCAGCTCCCGCACGTCACCCGCGTCGCTCCTGGGCAGCGACGGCGCCAGCCGCTCCACGCACTCGGCCACGGAGAGCGCGGCGGCCGCGTCCAGCGCCTCGCTGCTCTCTCTGGGCGACGCGGGCGAGCCCAGGTCGGCGGGCGAGAGGCTGTGTTCGCTCTCGGGGGCGTGGTGGCCCTGCCAGAGTCTGGCCTCCCCGAGGCCCGGCAGCACCACGCTCCCCGCCGCGTCGGCCTTGCCCTGAGCCAAGCTCTGCACGCAGGTGGCGGCGGCGCACTTGGGGATCTTCAGGTGCGGCTCGCGGGCGCCGCTGCCCCTGTCGTAGCTGCTGCAGGACACGCCCAGCCAGGCGGGCGAGCCCTCCGGCAGCTTGTAGATGGGGATGCTGCTGACGGGCAGCGACGTCAGCGGCTGGTTGAACAGGCCGGGGTTTGTCACCCAGTCTCTTAGCGCCTTCTGGAGCCTTCGGACGTGAAGGGGCTTGCTGGCCATGCCCACGAGGGCCATGATTTCCAAGAACTCCTCCTCCCCCGCTTCACAGAGCTGCTGGACATCGTCACCACCTTGTTGGATAAAGGCATCAAAATAAGAGAGCAGATTGGCTTTTTGTAATATTCTGTACAGCTGCAACTCCCCCAGCGTCCTGGGTAAGGCCGCGGCCATTACTGTGGATGGACTCGACCTGCAAGAAGAAGAGAGGACACACTCGTGACACCGGCTCCAAAATTCCTACACGTCCTCATCGGACACTGCGGAATGGACAGAAGTGCTCCGGGAAGGACAAAGACCAGGAGCATTTGCACAGCAACTGCCGTTAGTTAAGGAAGCATTCCCCCTCGACCAAAGTCACCTCATGTTATTCTTCTACCAATCCTAGTGGTCAGTATAACTGTTTCCATTTTAAAGTGAAAAATATAAAGAACATAACTAATCGGGGGCACCTGGGTGGCTCAGTGGGTTAAGCCTCTGCCTTTGGCTCAGGTCATGATCTCAGGGTCCTGGGATGGAGTCCCACATCCGGCTCTCTGCTCAGCAGGGAGCTGGCTTCCCTTTCTCTCTCTCTGACTGCCTCTGCCTACTTGTGATCTCCCTCTCTGTCAAATAAATAAATAAAATTTGAAAAAAAATAAAGAATATAAGTAATTTGCCTGAAATCTTACAGGCAGTCAAGCAGAAGTCAAGGACTCAAATCAAGGCTCACGGGGGCTCTATATCCCATACTTCTGTCTATGCGTTTTGCTGCTTGCTTCTGTGGTGTGAAAGGTGAGGTGAAGAATAATCAGATTCCGGGAGAAGAGAAGTCTGTTACGTTGCCATTTGCTGAATACTGACTTTGCATCAGACAATATGATTAACACTTTACATGACATCTACAAACGGTACCCAACTCACAGGTTCGACTTACGATTTTTCAGCTTTTTGATGGTGGGAAAGCCATCTACACTGAGTAGAAACCACGCCACTTTGTGTTCTGGTCTTTTCCTGGGCTAGTGACACTCCTGATGCTGGTTAACAACAGCAAGCCAAAGCTCCCAGTCAGCCACACAATGATGATGTCAACAGCTGATATGCTTACAATTATTCTGTACCCACACCAACCATTCTTTTTCCACTTTCAGAACAGTATTCAATAAATTACATGGGCTATTCAACACTTTATTATAAAATAGACTCTGTGTTAGGAGATTTTTGCCCAACTGTAAGCTGGAGTGTTCTGAGCACAATGAAGGTGGCTAAGCTAAGCTCTGATATTCAGTAAGTTAGCTGCATTAAATGCAACTCATGGCAATTTTCAACTTTCGACGGGTTTACTGGCATGTAACCACAATAGTAAGTTAAAGAAGATCTGTAATCCTTGTAGCAGCCCTGCCAGACTGGTACAGTAATTCCCACTTTATAAAGAAAAACGAGTAAGATTGGCCTGGTAGGCTGAGCACAATGGATTTCAGTATGAATTGGAGGTCAGAAGATAGGTGGTGTATTTAAGAACCCAGGAAAAAAGGCAGGAAAATTTCAAAATAAATAACAAGATTTGGTGATCACTTAGGTACTGGTGATAAAGGAGAGGAAATGGCTACCATTCTTTGACACTTTTTTGCTGAGTCCATGAAGAAAAGAGTAACAGATTGACCGCGGGATTACATCTGTGAGAGTCTAAGAACTGCGAAGGCACTGGGGTACAGAAAAATCAGGATGATGGGATTCTCTTGTAAACATCTAGCACTTGAAGATGGCGTAAGGTAGGATGTTTCAACAGATCTGCCCTGTGTGCAAAGTAGCAGCCTGGATCTTGGTGTGTTTAAGGGTCAGATACGCAGGCTGGAACAGAGGCTGGAACAGCCTCTAATGCAGCTGCAGACAGCCCAAGACAGTCCAGGAAGAAACAGAATTTTGGGGCCCAATCAAGACCAAGAAGCCTGCTTTTAAAGAGACAGAACAAGACCCAGCAAAGCACTTCCTGACCTCCTAGCAGCCTTTAAAAGTTATTCACAGTTGCCTGGAGACCTCCCACATACAAAGAGAAGTTGGCCAAGTACTTCCATTTAAGAGAAACAAACAAGCATGTTGTAATCAACTTGCACCTTTAGGATTAAAAAGGACCTTGTGGCCCTCTACAGAGAACATTACAGAAGAGCGTAAGAATATGTAAGAATATGTATGTGCATCAGAGGGAAATGGAAGGTCCAGCCTCGATTCAAAATAGTACAGAGCAACAGTGAACTAGGAGATAAGGCAAGCAGAAGAGTATTAGGACATCTCTGAAGGCCAGGAGGCCACCACATCTGGGACTTGTTCTTTATACCATGATCAGAATGCTATCAAAATTCTAGTCTCTGTCATCCCACTCAGGGATACTGTATCTCCCTAACACCCTAAGGACTGACTTCTGGGAAGCCCCATCTTCAGGAATGTCTGTGTCACCCACAATCTGCTTTGATCAACCAGTGACCGCCTCAAATTTTATGGTCCTTTATTTTATAAGGGTATTTCCAGGTGACTTGATAACTTCCCAAGACATACCAAAAAAAAAAAAAAAAAAAAAAATTGGGGAGCAGCAGCTTTCTGCTAGCACCCAGGACAGTCACTTGGAGCGCTGATAATTTCCCAGACGCCTGGGTGGCTCAGTGGGTTAAGAATCTGCCTTCCATTCAGACGTGATCCCAGGGTCCTGGGAAAGTCCCTTATCACACTCCTTGCTCAAAAAGGAGTCTCCTTCTCTCTCTGACTGTGGCTCCCCTGCTTGTGCTCGTGCGCAAGTGCGCTCTGTCTCTCTGACAAATAAATAAAATCTTAAAAAAAAAAATACAATTTCCCAGGTCATTGTGTTGTGAGACTCTCATGGTTTGGCAAACTTGGCAAACTACACTAGAAGATCCCTATTTAGTGTACCTTCAGGGCACCAGAACTCCTACTTGTTCTGTGATCACCCAGATTCTTTAAATCTACCTTCAGGTTCAGGCCACTTGACCCCTCTGGATAAAAACACTCTTGCATCTTCTACATCACACAGAGGAGTATCTACTTGTCCTCCCACTCCAGGGAGACTCTCCAGGGAGAGAGTATATCATCCAGCTGAACACTAACCCACAGAAACACAACTCTTGGGAACTACAGACACAAGTTTAAATCTGTAATGGATTGCATTATACCAACAGAAGGACTCATAGAAAGCGTCTAAGGGAGAAAGGAAACTTCCTTTCCCATCATACACAGAATGCAAAAGCTTCAAAGACTTTCAACTCCAGCACACAAAAAAGTACATATACACGTATAACCACACGTGTGCATGCACACACAATCTTTTTTCATTTAAATTCAATTAATTAACATATAATATATTACTGGTTTCAGAGGCAGAAGTCATCCATCTCATATATACCCCGTGCCCACACAATCTTCTCTTTTGAAGAGAGCTATGCAACTGCAAGGTTTATGGTGTCATCAATTATCTCATCATATGTGCTCCCCAAAATTATGGAACTATTCTTTTTTTTTTTTTTTTTTTGACAGAGAGAGATCACAAGTAGGCAGAGAGGCAGGCAGAGAGAGGAGGAAGCAGGCTCACCGCTGAGCAGAGAGCCCGATGCAGGGCTTGATCCCAGGACCCCGAGATCATGACCTGAGCCGAAGGCAGAGGCTTAACCCACTGAGCCACCCAGGTGCCCCTATGGAACTATTCTTAACTGATTTTCTCACATACTCTTTCGTCTAAAGAGTATGTGAGAAAATCAGTTAAGAATAGTTTTTTAATCTTTTTATTAGCAACAAGACAAAAGATATGTCAAACTTAAAGAGAAACTTAAGGAAAACTAAAGACCCAAACTTAAGTTTTATTCTTCTAAAATGTCTATAATTTTGGAAAAAATTAATTTCAAATCTTTATCCTTTCTCATCTTTACCCAGGAAGAAAAAAAAAAAAAAAAAACCCTAGTTCCCTAGGGGATAAAAAAGCAGAAGCAGGAAGAAAGTAGTAGTTATTACACTATCTCTGTAATGACTGATAGGACCACGTGCGCATTCCCAAAGTCAAGATACCAGATGAAAGATAACTCCGTGAGCTCGTCAGGGTCCCAGGAGGCTTCTGAAGGCCCACACCTGCTGCTGGGAGAGGAGTTTCCTCCTTAAGCTTTTGCCTTGGGAGAATGTTTCAGTTCCCTACTAATGCCTGTTGTGATATGATCATTCAAACACCCACCACCTCATACATTAACTTGATTTGATTTAAAAGAAAATTCTTATGAAAATTTCTGTTTTTACAAATGCTGTATCTATTCATGCTTCAACATGAAGGTCAAATAAATCAGGAGTGAGCTTCTAACTGCAGCTCTCTCTCGAATCTGAAGCAAACAGGAAAAGATCCTGCCAACAACACTGTACACAGGTAGCTAAAAGCACAGTGGATTTACTCAGCTGAAGACCGTTACCTGGTCTTTTCAGGATGCTGGAACAACCATGCTGAGTCTCACCTTTTCGTGAATTCCACAGTGAAGAAAAACCAGTTACTAATTTTTGGTGTGCATTCAAAATCCACACCAAAGGCCTGCTACCTACACACAGCGAGCGAGCACCACTGGGAGAAGAAGAGGAATTAAACAACAATGGATTCGTTTAAGGCCATTTGTTGTCATTTGCTATTCATTAATCTATTTTAAATGGTAACGGTTGTTCCAGAACCTTAAAAATAAAACAAAACAGAACGCTGCCTCCTCCTTAGAGGTAGGATCAGTCATCTGTCAGATTCAAACCTGCTCAATGAAAAAAAGGGGTGAGTTTGGCCCAGAAAACTCGACTGGTCAACTCCTATGTTGTCACTGAACCACAAGGAAGCACTCGACACGCCTGAGGGAAGCAAGACTTCTCCACCCTTCTCCTAGCCGAGATGTGGGGATGTGGGGATATGAGGACGTGGTGTGGGACGGAGGGTCTTCACGGCCTCCCTCCCTTCCGAGGAGCTTCAGTCCGCCTTCCCGGGCTCGGACTCGGTTGGAGCTCGGAGAAACCACCGTGTTATCACCGGCCCTCCCTCGAACCTCTCTGCGGCTCGACCACAGCTCCTTGAAACGCTCGCTACCTGACGTGGTTAGTGGCATATTACGCTCTCTTCCCTGCCTCTTAACTCATTTAAGAGCGTAACCGAATTCATGGCAGCTGTTCTTACAGTGTATGAATTCTCAACAAATACTAAAAGTAAAATTATCAGTGAACATCTGTAATGTTTTTAATTTACAAAAATGATCCTCATAATGGACAAGTTTGAGAACATCAGCACAAATCATTTGTGATAATTCTGCATTTGAACTACTACCTGGAAACTGTCAAAATCTCAAATTTTTAAGTCCAAAAGCAAGTGTGCATGTTTCTCTCCTTTCAGAATCCCAACTCCACCCTTCTCGTTTCTCTTTTTCAGTTGCATCACTACACTTTCACCTTTGTGCTTTCTTCTTCTTCCTTCCTCAAATCTTCATCTCCTTAAGCCACATATCCATCCTTTTCTTTCTCTGCCTCAAGAGCACCTAATTCTAGTTTCACTGCTTCTTGCTTCCACTCTGAAGACAGCTTCCTTAGCTTCAAGACATCCCACCTTGCAATACCACCTTTATCTTCCTACAGTACAGGTGTGACTCTGTACCCACCTGTGCAAATTTCCCCACTGCAACTAGAAAGAAGTCCAGACTTCTCAGAGAGGCATCCCAGATCCAAACCTGTACACCTTTCCAGCCTTCTCTCTGGTCCCAAACACGGCCCTGTGCTTATGCCAAACAGATACACCAGGCACTCCTTGAATGTGCCTCCCAATTCCCTGCCCCTGTGCCCGGCATACTCTCTCCTGCCCACCTCCACTGGCCTTTTCCACACACCCCTGGTGTCCTGTCCCTTCTCTGAACCCTACACTACTTTCTCATTTTTTCCCCACTCCTTCAAACGACCCTTCATGGAGAACGAGTTACGAGGGTGAAGGAAGACAAAGAGGCAAGACATTTAAACACGGTGATAAGTGCTAAGTGTTATACAGAAGCAGCTATGGGATGAAGAAGAAACCTGACCAGGCTCTGCAGAACAGAGGTTTTAAGCTGCCTGAAGGCAGAAACTCAGTCTCATTCATATCCTATCCCCCACTTCTAGCCAAGTGTTAAATGTAGAATAACAACTCTATAAAGGTTGCTCCTGAATGAAATCCAACATCTGAGACCAATTACGATGAGCAGCCTCCCAAAGGGATGCTCTCTTTGTGAACTGGTATCCCAATGACCAATCTATCACTTTAGCTACTACTTTCCCTAAAAGCTTTTACATTCTCTCATCCTCAATACTTCCTTCTTACAAGGCTATTTGGATTTCCATAACATGGCTATTTTCCCAAGAGATCTAAGGATGTATTTCCAGATACAGGAACTACATGTGGTTAGGACTATAATATACTTCATGGGTTAGTCCAGTCCCAACACCAGCATTTTAAGAGGTCATCAAAGATTCTAGGTCTTTTCCTTCTTTGCTCCTATAAATTAAAATGCAATATAAAAGTTATCCACAAATATCAAATGGATTGATAATCACTACTCCTGAATCCTCCTCTTCATCATGCAGGAAATACACACACACACACACACACACACACACACACACACACACACACAGTATATACACACTTCCATGAAGCCTGTGGCATTCCAAAGAACAGAGACCCTTTAGGAATGAGGAGATAGCAAGGGCAGAATCCCAGTAAAATCTGACTTAGTTTTCATGCAAGGGACTATAAATTCCTTCCTCCCAACACAGCCTGAAATTTTTACTTTAAAACTGTCTAAGTTAACAGCAGTTTCTTACAGATTTATAAAAAATGTGAAAAACCTTGGGAAGAGTTAGCTCATGAGTCATTTACAGATTAAGGTGAATTAGTTCCACCAGATTGTTTTCCTCTTAACATCTAGATGGAAACCCAGTGCATGCTAAAGGAAATGAAAAGACGGACTGGAAATGTTAAGGAAAGAATGAGGAAACCTAAGGGCAGAGACTGCATTTAAAGCCTCAGAAGTGCACCACTGAGTTTGGAAGAATGGAGTCTGAAGGTATAGGGGCCTGGTGAGAAAGGTGCAGTGGGTATACTGCAGGCTGAAACGGAAAAGGTTTAGGACAAGCCAGAGGTTGGCTTAGGCAAGGATAAGCACTAAGTCTAGGAAATGAATTCTTTTAAACTTTTGTCCTAGTGCTAGAACTCAAGCTGAAATAATTACATATAAAGTTTACTTACATCATGGGTTACTTCAGATTGCAGAGCTGGTGTTTCTGTGTTCCAAGTACCAAATAATTTAACCTAGGCAAATCAGTAAGCATTCAGTGATCTTAAAATATTCAGGATCTTATTACTGTCAGAGCTATGAGTTGAACACACAGCTCCTAATGAATTAACAGTAATTTGGGGAACATAAAATGTTCCCTCCTATTGATTTTTTTCTGAATTCTGAATGAAACTGGAGGAAAAAGTGTCTTACCCCTTCATAGGATATGGCTGGAAATTCTTCAACCAACCAACAAACAAGTCATTCAAAAAACATGAATGTCCTCTGAGCATGTAGAAGGCATCCTTTTTCTAGAAATTTCTCCTTAAAATTAACATACTGTGCAAATTAACTGCGCAGCCCCCTAAATCCAAGGTGCTGAGAAATGACAAAGTGTTTGAAAGCTTAATGCCAGGTTTTAGCTGTGCGAATTCTGACAAGATGAGGATTACTATTTTTTTCCAGCACCAACTTCTCAGAATTCCCACTTGTTTCATTATTAAGTTTAAGAGTATACTCTACAATTGTACTAGTTTTTGAACATGCCAGATCAAAAAGAAAATTTGCATTTAATATCATAACTACTATTCTTCATTCCACTTAAAAGAATGAAAGAAGATATAAAACTGAATCCAAAACAAAGGGGCTGAGACTCTTCTATCATGCTTGAAAGAGTATTATTTATTACTTAATATACTTAATTAACTCCACGATAAAATATGCATATGCAAGACAATTATACATTAGCTGGATCTTAATACTGATCAAAACATATTATAAAATGCTCATTTCCACAAAGGTAACATAAAACATCATATTCATAATGCACATGAACTGCACCAACAAACAGACCTCTAATGGAACGAGGCCCAAGTCTTAGAGTTTAGGTCAAGAGACAAAAAAACCTGACATTTCTGTTTCCATCCAACCACCTTTTATTTTGAATACTTAAAGTTCAACCCATATATTCTTCAAAGATCTCTTCCACTTTGTAATACACTTAATTTCTTCTTTCAAAGCAACCACAGTGCAACCCCCCCCATCTTAAATAATAAACCATTATGTCCTTAAAGTGTGATTAAAATATCAAATGCTTTAACTGATTCTCTAACAACGAGGGAGGATGAAAATATATTAACTTCCCTATAAGACGATGGGTGTTATTTACTGGTCACAAAAAGGGAAAATTTTTAATTAATTTAGTTGAGGTTAAATTGTATTAATAATTCTGAAAAAGGACAAGATATAAATTATTAAATATATCAATTTGTTTACTAGACATATGAACTCACTAAATTTCCTTTTATCAGCTATAGTATTGCTAAGGATTTCTGTCATTTTAATAACATCCACAATTAGTAAGCAAAATGAAATAAAAAATCTACAATGCCTCCATGTTTGTATTATTATTACTGATTCATTCACCTATAACTGGGAATCACCAGAGCCAAGAAATATAACGTGTTTCTAATACCAGGATGGCACATTAACTTTCGTACAAGATACTAATAAAATTAAAACAAGAAACTTCCCAATGGTTCCTTGAAATTATTTTCTTTCAAGACCTAACTGTCCAGCATCCAACACCCAAACAAGAATAAAGAAGGCTGACCTTGCCAGGCAGCCATAGGTTCTTAAGAAAACCTTTATATGCATATTAATACCTGTAAGGATACCATAATTTGATAATTTAATTAGAGGACAATATTAAAATGTCTCAATACTAAAAAATGGAGGAAAAGGGATACCCTTGAATCTAAGAGCCACTTTCACTAGCACTTAGATTGAAAGCAGCTCCTTTAAGTCTTCAGGAAAATATCAGCCTCCACCCCAAAATAAAGTAAATGCTAAGCATCCCTTTCCCAATATTTCTTCTTGAAACCCACATACAAATTATGACGTGTCATAATCTGGTATGTCTTAGAAAGGAAATTTTTCAAAAAAGTGAAAATCTAAGAAGGTAATTCACTGTGCACACTTTTCTAACAAAACAGCCTGGCATTTCCTCCGTGACTAATCTATTTTAAATTCCGTGCCTCTGTTCCTATGCAATCTAATATTATCTATTAAAACTGCCAAAATATTTTTAAACAAGATCCGAGCATTTCCGTCTCTGCTTCCTATCTCTGCACTCCTCGAGTCTGCAGACAAGTCAGGGGCCGTGAGCGGTCACTCCACGTCGACCCTTTTAACCTGACAGCTGCCCCCGTCTCTGAGCCCGCCGCCCTCGGGGACTGTGGGGGCAGCTGCAGGCGGGCCGAGGGGTCCTCGCGACCACCTGCTGCGAGGCCGGTGCGCGGAACCCACGCACGCCTTCCAGCCCCACGGCCCTTCCCCGAGAGCGGAGAACACTTGGGCTCACTGGCCGGGGTCGCCTCCCTTCTCGGTCGCCCGAACCTGGAGTCTGGAAGCCGCACCCCGACTGCCATGCTTGTGCACGCGTGAGGTCGCACGGCTCTGCCCCAGGCGGCCGCCCCCCGCGCCGGGAACCCCAAACTCGGCCCTGCGAGCACGCGTCTCCCGCTGCTCCGCGCCCGGAGCCAAGTTTCTGGCACAGCCACTTCCAAAAAACTCCTTCCGCGGCGGAAACAGAAACCGCGCTCGGGAACGGGGGCACCGGCGGCCGCGATCAGGGCCGTCCGGGCCACATCTTCCCGGGGCGCGCGCCCCCAGCACCGCCGACACGGCGACCACCCCGGCCGCCCTCGAGGAGCGCTCGCACCCGCCGGCTCGGGAGCAACGGCGCGCGCCCCCGGCCCGCGGCCCCGCTCTCCCCCTTCCCGCCGCCGCGGCCCCCGACTTTCTCCGCGGATCGCCCACACGACCAGAGGCCGCCCTCCGCTTCCGCCGGAGCCCGCGCGGGGCCCGCTGCCCCGGACGCCGGCCCCGAGCCCGCGCCGCCCGCGCCTCCGCCGCCCAAGTTCGCCCGTGAGCGCCGCGCGTCCCGGCCGAGGCGGGCCGGGGCAGGTACGTACTCGGCCGGCGGCTGCGGCGGGCTCGGCGCGCTCTCCCGCGAGGACGGCTCGGCCCCGACTCCGGAGACACGGCCCCCAGCGCTCCCTCCTCAGGCGGCTGCGGCGGCCGGGACGCCCCCGCGCCCATCGAGGGGGGAAGGGAAGGCGGTGGGCGCGCGCTCCGGCTCCCCCCACCCCGGCTCGGACACGCCGCTCCCGTCCGCCCGCCAGCCAGCCCCGACGGCGCTCGGCTCGGCCGCGTCGGCGGCGGCGGCGGCGGATGCTCCGGGCTGCGGCGCGCGGGCGGTGGCGGCGGCGCCTCCCCCGCCGCGCCCGCCCTCCTCCTCGCTTCCCTGCTCCTCCCGGCGCGCTGCGCCCTCCCCTCCCCCGCCCGCCTCCGCCGCCCCCGCCCCCCGCGCGCGGTCACATGGGGAGATTCCGCGCTTGCCACATTCGCCGCTCCGGCTCCCGCCCACGCGCGGCCGAGTGACGCAGAAGCCGGCGTGGGCCGGCGCGGGCCGGGGCCGGGGGCGGGGGCGGCGGCCGCCGGGGCCCGGGCTCGGCCTCTTCCCGCCGCCCCCCTCCGCGGAGCCCGGGGGGCGGCCCGTTCGCGCGGCAGCTGGGAGGAACCGAGTGGGCGCTCGCGAGGGGGCGGCGCCCGGAGGGCCGCTCCGGGCGGGGGAGGGGAGGGGGCGGGTCGCGGGGGGGTGGGGCGGGGACGCCGCCTCGGGCCTGCGCTCCGGCCGCCCGCGGAGCCGCGAGGATCTGCAGTTTGAGAAAAATATCCGTTCCGAACGCGAGAGGCTCCCGGTGCAGCGTTTCAAAGAGCGCGGCCCGCCGCACCGGCTGCTCGCGAGGCCGCCCTGAAGCCGAGAGCGCCCTCGACCCTGCGCGCCCGTTCGCCCCCGCCGGAGGCCGCCGCGCCGGTGCTCCTCGGCCTGCGGTGCCAGCGTCCCGCGGGGGGGTCAGCGCGGCCGCCCGGCACGGGGGCGGCAGGTGTGCAGCCGGGGACGGGCCGTGGCCGTCCCGCAGGGCCCCCGCCTCACCCCTGTCGCCCCCGCGCCCCGGCCCTGGCGGCGGGAATGGGGGAGGGGCAGAGCGGGAGCTGACAGTCCTGGGGCTCGGCTTTGACGACCGGGTCGCCTGCGGGTCGTCGGATTCCGCCCCTGCCACCCCCCGAGAGCCGGCCTGTTACTTTGTGGGTCACCGCGTTCGCTTCCAGGCGAGGAGGTCCGCCCGCGCCGCAGCCCTGCGGGGCCGTGAAACAGTCCCCGGGCGCGCGCGGCAGAGTCTGAGTTCGGTTTGCATAAACTTTTCTAACCAAAGTACTGAAAATCTCCATAAATGTACTTCAGCTATTGCCAAAAAAGAGAGAGAGAGAGAGAGAAAAGAAAAAAAAGGTAATTTGTTTTAGAATCTACCCTCTCTTTGCAAAGACGGGAAAATGGGAGAATTCCCCAAATTTTAGCAGCAATGTGCTCTTGCAGGACAGAACGTATTTAGTAAATTCACAACTGCTGCCAGTACAGGTAGAATCCCGTTTTAGCATGAAAATCCGGTTTCTAGAAGCCTTGCTGGCACCCTGGCTAACCTCCCGGGTGGCGCCCACTTCGCGGCAGGGGTGCGAAGCGCGCTCTGAGAGGGGTTCCTTCTCCGGCGTCTGTGTGCCGCAGCCGCGGACGGGGCGAGGACACGGAAAGGAAAAGACCCTATTAAAGTGCTCCGCGGTTCGTTCCTCCTTGTCACAAACCTGTTGAGAGAAGGGGTAACACCGCGATGGGATGTAATATATGTCCATAATGTATACAATTAACCCCTTTGCCCGTGTGAGCGAGGGGTGATGTGCGGAGTGGTCGTGTTGGTGCTTCCAGTGAATAAGCAGGCTCGGTCCCTCAAATTCTCCAATTGGAGAAAATCTGCTGGAGGTTTGTCTTAACCTACTTGTCATGGTTTTGCTCCTGTGGACCTTGTTCTGCTACAGAGACAGTTAACAGGTTGTTACAAAATAAAGACAATTTCTTGGAAAGATACAGGTTAACAAAATTTCAAGCAATGAAAACGGCAAAATTCTAGTTTCTCTCTGGAATCTTGATGTTTTGCAAACATTGTTGGTTGTAAAAGGGCTAGAAAAAAATAACTTCCTTCCATAAGTTTGTACAATTAGTAATTCACAAGTCATGAAATGATCAATCTTAACCTGGTCTATTGGGCCTCCCAGTAGAATTGTTTCCAGAGTGGGCAGAAACACATTAAGTTCTCTTCCTGAACCTGGATGTTTGGCCAGTATTGAACAAGACGCTGAAAAGGAAACATGTTAGGGAAGATATTTTTCTTCTGCTTTGTGACTAGTTACAATAGTTTCCCCTTATCCGTGGGGGGGTATATTTTAAGGCCCCTGGTGAATGCCTGAAGTCACGAGTAGTACCAAATCCTATATATATATTGTTTTTTCCTGTAACTATCTATGATAAATTTATAAATTAGGCACAGGAAGAGATTAACAGTGACTAATAATAAACTAGAACAATTATAACAACATACTGTAATAAAGTTTGGTAAATGTCTCTCTTTCTCAAAATATTGCGCTATCCTAACCCTTCTTGCGGTGATGAGATGAAGTGAGGTGAATGATTAGGCCTGTGACATGGTTCTAGCTCATTATCGGCCTGCCGATGTTATGTCAGAAGGAGGGTCATCTACTTCTGGACCATGGGTTCCTGAAAGCATGGAAAGTGAAATCTGGGGCTACTGTATTTCTACAGTTAAACACTGAAATCCCTTCTTGTTTGTTTTCTGGGCACGTTTAGATAGTATATCCTTCCCACATTAAGAATGGTATTTTTGGCCCACTTTGCATTGCCTTAAACACTCTCTGGTGCTGGGGGAAGTGGTGGGAGGAAGGAAAATGAAGAAAAGATAAATTTTTAAGCTTTTAGGCATCCAATTCTCTGTCCACAGTGTCTATATGACAACAGTATGATCAGTATGGCTGCTGACGAGCAGAATTGAGGCATTCATCTGTATCTGAGACAACTCAGGTAAAGGAGCATGATTCTTACAGAGCTCCTCACCACTTTTGCCACCATGCCACCCTCAACACCACCTCCCATTCCAGCCCCATGCCCTGGACGCACACAGTTATCTCCCATTGCCAGGCCTTGCTGGTTTAAGGGGAGGCACTCCATCCCATAAGGTAACAATTAGAGATTCTGATTGTTCCATATCCCATTCTGTCCCATAAGTGTGTCTTACACTTCTTTTGAATTCAGTACGTATGTGTTTAACAGGATTTTTAAAATACTATTATTGAAAGTACTTCAGCGGGATGCCTGGGTGGCTCAGTTGGTTAAGCGTCTGCCTTTGGCTTCTGACGATCCCAGGGTCCTGGGATCGAGCCCCACATTGGGCTCCCTGCTCAACAGGAAGCCTGCTTTCCCTCTCCCATGCCCTCTGCTCCTATTCCTGTTCCTGCTCTCACTGTTTCTCTCTCGCTGTCAAATAAATATATAAAATCTTAAAATATGTATATATACACTTCAGCGGCACCTGAGGTGGCTCACTTGGCTGAATGTCTGCCTTCGGTTCCAGTCATGGTCTCAGGGTCCTGGGACTGAGGCCTATGTTGGGCTCCCTGCTTAGTGGGGGAGCCTCCTTCTCCCTCTCTCTCCGCCCCTCCCCCCCTCCCCTGGTGCTCTCTCTCTCACTAATTCTCTATCTCAAATAAATAACATCGTTTAAAAAAATACTTAAGTGATTGGTATATTTACAAGAATAAGGAGTTCTTTTCCACATTCTGAAACAAAAAAAAATTTTTAAGTATAAAAAAGTACAAATTTGGTCGTGGTTCTGACATTTGAGTGAAATTTCACTGAAAGAGGATTAATTTATTACTTTCAGAAAGATTTCTTACTTTAAAATGCCTCAGTGATTCCAAACAAAAGAATTCATAATAGATTTAAAATATTCTTAGAGGAGAGAAAGAATAACATTATGGCTTATGACCTACAAGAATATAATGCTATCTTCCAGTTCTCCTATTGTCGCCGCAGAGAAATTCTGTACTTAACGAATTTTCCACTCTGTGTGGTGGTGGCCTACAATTAACTGAGTCATGTGTAATATTCATATTACCAGAAATATAATTAAAATTACCCTTATTTTGTAATATGAAATTTAAAGCCTTGGATGTGTGCTGTAGATTAAGTAGATGTTTAAATGTATGGAGATATGAATATTTTAGTATACTGAAA